TTAGTAAAACTACAGCCATTGATGTGGGGGAGATTAGGTGCATTCTTGCTTCCGCTTTCTGATCTAATGGAGCTCCTGGGTTTCTGGGCCTGTTAGTGTTCTTTCGGCTGAAGCCCTCCCATCATGGGAGAGGCTGCACGCCTCACTGGGGAATGCAGCTGATGGCTGGAAAGTGTTCTAGGCTGGGATGCTAGGGAGGGAGCAGATGATGTGAAGCCTGAAGGGGGTCCCCCAGGAATTTCCCAGTGTCACTGTCAGCCCCCAGTGTGGTCAGGATGACAGTGCGAGTCCCAGACAGAAGGTAGGATGCTGGGCAGTCCGTGTTGTCTACCCAGGATAGGGAGTCAGAGAATTAGAGCAGAAAAAACTGGCAATTGTCTAAGGGCTGAACAAATGGATGCAGATGGGTGGGGCAGGCGCTTGACCCAAGGCTTCAAGAATAATGTGATGAGTATCATCTGCTAAGCTGAGAGCAGCTGCCTCTGGCTGGTGTGATCTACCCCAAAGGAACAGGATTCCACCAAAGCAGGGGTGGGGAGAGTTGTGTTGGGATGGAGTGGGCAGAGCCAAGAAACACAGAAGCAGCATGGTGCCCTAGAAGGGACGTGGTATGGAGACTGAGGAGACCTGGGTTCCAGAACTTTCTGGCACTGAGTCACTCGCAGTGTGGGCAGAGAACTCAAGCTCTCCAGGGCTCAGTCACGAAGTAACTCGTGGACGGAAAACTCAAGCTCTCCAGGGCTCATTCATCCCCTCTAAGGTGGAAATAACGGCACGTGCCCAATTTCACACAGGGTGTGTAAAGATGAGATCTGACAAAGGTTGAGAAAATATTTCACACACTATGGAACGCTTCCCAGCCATGAGGCCTATTATTCTTACTCTTTGGAGGAAAACACATTGTCAAAAAAACCAAACCAAACCAAAACAAAACAAAAAACCTGTTTAGACTAAAAGCCAATTTCAGAAAGTATAGCAAGAGGCAGGAAAACAAAAACCCACGAAAACTCAAAATATATCCAACCAACCATTCTGTTCTTCTGGCCAGAATATGAAAGTCACTTTTTAAGGAAAACTGAAATACAGATTTGATTTTGCTCTATACTACACACCTTCACTGGGCCTTGCGGTAGCCATGGTGTAGACTAAACAGAAAGTATAGACTAAACAACTGACTTGGCCACAGCGCAACTTTGGGTGAGAGGAGAGGGGGAGGTAACGGGTAGAGTCTGGAGAAGCTTCTGAGGGAGGCCCCGGGCGGAGTCAGCTGGGCAGGGAGGGCACCTGGGACTCCACTGCCGGGTCTGGGCCAACCCGTTTCTCCGTTCCAGTGGGGAGAGGAGACTGAACCCGGGGGGGTCCCTGGAAACAGCCTGCAGAGACACACAGAGGTGACCTGGGAAATGTATTGCCGCACACGGAGTTCCTCTCAGGCCCTCGGGAAGTATGTGGATGGCATCCAAACTGGAGGCCAGGCGAGGATGGGAAAGAGTGGGGAAGAGACAGGGGGTCAGCACTGTCAGGGACAGGGGCAGCAGAGGGAGAGGGGAGAGGGTGGGGGAGAGGCAGGGATGGAGAGGACTTGAATGCAGCCAGCCCTGCCAGTGGACGGGAAAGGCCAAACCCGGGGCTCCCACAGACCTCACGCCAGCTCGGGGAAGGCTGCCCGAGCCCTGCAGGGAAGACCATGGTGGTGCTCAGGCACACATAGTGCCCTGGGAGCGCACAGTCATGCTGAGGCCCTTGTGCTGATCTGGACTCTTCTTTTCCTTCTGCAGAAAAGTGATGACATCTGAGCAACAAGAAGCAGGGGCTGATTGTGCGCGTGGAAGAATGAGGGGATACTGCAGAGGAATGAAGAGAAGAAGGCGACTGAATCCAGGAGGGGAAACACCTTCCCGTTCCGCCTCCCAGCCTGTGAGCAAGTGTGGGGAGCAGGGCTGTCTGCACTCCCTCCCTTTCAGCCTCCTACCCTGAGCCTGTTTCTCACTTTGTTTCACATGGTAGGAACATGATGGCATTTCCTGTTACTCACCATGTCAGCAAATGCAGCTACTGCTAATTCACAAAACCGCTTTCATCAGGGTCAGTGGGCCAAATGGGCCCCAGCTCCACCAAGCCACTGCTTTGGCCAGCCATTGCACAGCAACACGGGGCTCCTGGGCTCAGAGGGTCCCAGGGAAACACAGTGACAGTGGGTTCAGTTCCTGCCACCTCCCCTCGGTTGACTTTGTGACCATGGTCAACATGTGACCTCAGTTTCTTCATTTCTTAGAGAGGGTGCAGGCCACCTTCCCAGGGCTGTTGGGAGGGCCCATGAGATGGCAGGGCTAGTGCAGTGTCTCATACTCTGAATCTCAAAGAGATTCTCTGAACATCTGCTGTGTGACAGCCACTGTTCTAGGAGCCGAGAGTATAATGGCCAAACAGCCCCAGCCCAGTTCGCAGAGGGCTGCATCCTACAAGGGAGAAAGGCAGTAAAAAGTCACTGCTGTATACTAAGGACAGGTCGGGGAGGTGGAGTAAGAAGAATAGTTTCCGCTAAGAGTTGAATTACCATTCGACCCTTCAATACCATTACTGAGTATATACTCAAAGCAAAATAAATCATCCTAGCAAAAAGATACATGTACTCACGCGTTCATGACAGCACTATTCACAATTGCAAAGACATGGAATCAACCCCGGTGCCCATCAACAGTGAACTGGACAAAGAAAATGTGATAGACACCATGGAGTACTCTGCAGCCATAAAAAGGGACAAAACCACGTCCTTTGCAGCAAGGAACATGGATGCAGCTGGAGGCCATTATCCTAAGCAAACTAATGCAGAAACAGAAAGCAAGCATCACATGTTCTCACTTAGAAGTGAGAGCTGAACACTGGGTACACATGGACATAAAGATGAGAACAGACACCAGGGATTCCTAGATGGAGAGGAAGGGAGCGGGGCAAGGGTTGAAAAACTACCTGTTGGGTACTATGCTTGGTTCCTGGGTGACAAGTTCAATCATACTCCAATCGTAAGCATCATACAATACACCTTTGTAAGAAACCTGCACACACACTCCTGGAATCTAAAATAAAAGTCGAAAAAAAGTGCAGTTTCCAAAGTCATACTGATTAGCGGCAAATTGGCTGTGTCACTTTCAGCAAGTTACATAACCTCTCTGCTTTTATTTTCTCAACTCTAAAGAGAAACAGAACAACATATACCTGATCATGTTGTAAGGATTAAAGAAAGGAGTTTAAGTCCCTTTGCACAACATTTGGCCCAAGGTGAAGTTAGGCACCAGCAGTGATGATAATAAGCAGATAACGGTGATGATGAGAAATGTGATACGCACCATGGGGAGAGTGTGGGGTGCTACAGGGGGCTTAGCAGGACACCTCATCCAGTCTTGAGGTGGGAGAGGAGACCACAGTCAGGGACAGTTTCTCAGAGATGACATTTAAGCTAAAGAATAACCTTAAGGGTTATGAAATTAACATTTAAGGCTAGCTATGTGGCTTGAGAGGAAAGGACTTCATACTGCCTGATGCAGCCACTGCAGGGCCCCAAAGCACTGGGTGCTCTGTGGAGCCTTCAGCAGCAGCAGCTGTAACCAGAACAGGTATTCTGGAAGCAGGGCCACGTGCTCGAAAAGCAGCAGGGCCAAACTCCCGCCACATCGAGCCAGCTCACCACCAGTAGAAACAGCAGCCTGGGTGACAGGTAGCAGGCAAACAGGACCGCATTGCCACCTGACCCTGTGCATGGCCATTGACAAGTCAGGAGGGCTCTCTGTGCATCATAATCACACGCCAGTTCAACAAGTTCTTCACAGTGGCAACTGCAAATCTATCCAATACAGTCAATCCCTTGGCATCCACGGGGGATAGGTTATAGGAATCCCCACAGATACCAAAATCCACGGTGCTCAAGGCCCTTCTATAAGATGGTGTCATGTTTGCATATAACCTGTGCACATTCTCCCATACACTTTTTTTTTTTTTTTTGAGATGGAGTCTTGCTCTGTCGCCCAGGCTGGAGTGCAGTGGCACGATCTTGGCTCACTGCAAGCTCCGCCTCCCGGGTTCACGCCATTCTCCTGCCTCAGCCTCCCGAATAGCTGGGACCACAGGTGCCTGCCACCACGCCTGGCTAATTTTTTTGTATTTTTAGTAGAGACAGGGTTTCACCGTGTTAGCCAGGATGCTCTCGCTCTCCTGACCTCGTGATCCGCCTGCCTCGGCCTCCCAAAGTGCTGGGATTATAGGTGTGAGTCGCCGCGCCCAGCCACATCCTCCCACATACTTTAAATCATCTCTAGATTACTTGTAACACCTAATACAACGTAAATCCTACATAGACAGTTACTATATTTTAAAATCTATATTATTGTTTAGTTTTCATTGATTTTTCTTCCCAAATACTTTCCATCTGAGGTTGGTTGAGTCCCCAAATTCAGAACCCATAGATATGGAAGGCTGATTGTACATTGTTCCCATCTTCATATTTTATAAATTATTCAAGAGACAAGGCGCCACCCAGTTTCCAAAATAAAATCATCTAAGGCACACACACAAACTGCTTTCTACAGTTTTTCTGATGAATTCTGTTTGTAAGTAGTAAAAACGAGGGAGTGGCTCTTGTAATTAAACCAAGCCTCGGTTCTGAACATCCACACGTTTTCCAGGATGTTCCTTCAGTTGACTATAAAAACTCCTATCAATATTTGAGTTACTGGACTGAACCACAATTACGACTGCAGCTTTAATGAACACCCTCCCTTCACGCCAAGCAAAGTTAACAAGCTACCCAGTGAAAATACAGAGATTTTTATATGCTTGAAGACGACATTTGTGATTACCCTAGGGCTTTTTAAATTAAAAGTCTCAGTAGTAAATTTTGATTGCTAAACCTAAAGGCAGGTCAATAAATAACTTAGACACTCTCTTCAGATTTTTCATGTGAGTGAAACTTCCATTGTCATCTCCAATCGATGGCACAGACTTACCAAGGTCAATAAGAATTGCATGCTGCTGGGAAGTCAACTGCTTTAAGAGTTCTTTGTATGGCACATCCTTTGGCTGCTGTTTGCTGGGAAACTGGTGTTTAAGGTGGAATTGCTCAGCTAGAAATTTCCAGATTTCACCTCGGTGATGACGTGGCACACCTTTAAAAGGGGGAGAAGATATGGAGATAATTTATGCACAGAATACAACTTAATAATAAAAATGAATTGTGTTTCATGTTCCATTTATCCAAATTCACGTTCCCTTCTTTTTTTTTTTTGAGACAGAGTCTGGTTTTGTCATCCGAGCTGGAGTGCAGAGGCACACTCACATTTCACTGCAGCCTCAACCACCTGGGCTCGAATGATCCTCCCACCTCAGCTCCCGAGTAGCTGAAATCATAGGTGCCCACCACCATGCCTGGCTAATTTTTTATTTTTGTAGAGACAGGGTCTCACTATGCTGTCCAGGCTTGTCTCAAACTCCTGACTGCTCAAGGGATACTCCTGCCTCAGCCTCCAAAGTCCTGGGATTACAGGGATAAGCCATCGTGTCTGGCCACTAGTTTCATTATTAATTAACAGCACAGGAACAGAAAGGAGGCAACTAAAACTTTGTCCTATTTGTTTCTTCCCCTACTTCCACCCCCTATTCTCCCCTCACTTCCCTGCCCCCCCTCCTTTTTTCTCACTTCTCAAATGTGTTATCATGTTGTGACCCTGTCAGACTCTGCAAGGAATAAAGAATATGACCTGAGCTCCAGCCTGGTGCCAATTAATGACATTCTAGGGAAATAAGGCCAAGTATGAAAAACTGTCATGTAAGATGTGATCTCAGAAACAAGAGAGAAACAAAAGGAAGTAGAGCTCAGATGAAAGATAAGCTGGCTCTTTTTTTTTTTTTTTTTAATTATACTTTAAGTTCTAGGGTACATGTGCACAACATGCAGGTTTGTTACATATGTATACATGTGCCATGTTGGTGTGCTGCACCCATTAACTCGTCATTTACATTAGGTATATCTCCTGTTATCCCTTCCCCCTCCCCTGACCCCACGACAGGCCCCAATGTGTGCTGTTCCCTTCCCTGTGTCCAAGTGTTCTCACTGTTCAATTCCCACCTATGAGTGAGAACATGCGGTGTTTGGTTTTCTGTCCTTGCAATTGTTTGCTCATTTCGAACTGAGCAATCAGTTTGAACCAAGCCTTAAGGACGAGGGAAAAGGAAGAGAAAAGTGCAACCAGAGAGAAGGAACTGAGAGTGCTTCAGTTTGCCTCAGGCACAAACGTGCACGTGGAAGAGAGCAGATGAAAGAAGGCTGGAAAGGTTATTGTCAGAGACAAAACTGACGGCACGAAACCTGCGTGTTTGGTAGCCCCAGGGAACCATGCATGTTTCTGAGCTGAGGTGGAGTAAGCTAATCATAGCTGAGATTCTGGAATTCTGATGAGGCTTCTTTCTGCAAGATAAGCCGCAAGAAGGGCCCAGAGGCTGGGTAGGAAGTGACTGCATAGATATTGCCATGTGAGCATCCAACAAAGCTCTAAAAGCAGAAAATGTCCAAGAGCCTCCACCTAATGCTTTATATGTGATTAATTTGAATACTCACAGTGATTGAAAATGTCTAAAACTTTAAAAAGTTCTCTTAAAGTCAAGGATGTTATTTAGGGCAAACCTAATTTTAAAAGGTGACAGTTTTGAACCAAAATTCTTTAGCTCATTACTCAGCTATTACAAGGCCAAAAAGGTAGAAATGGGGAGAGCAAGAAGACTGAAGAACAAAATGCCAAGTCTTTCTCGTCTCTTGGGAGAAAGGAAGCCTCCGAGTTAGGCATTGATCTTTCTTTCCATCCGGGAAAAAAAAGTGGCCGCTTTGTACCCTGCCCTGCCACTCAAACAGCCTGCCCAGGAGGACGGTTTCTCTGGTTTCCGTCTCTGGCCACCTTTGGGAGAAGTTTCTGCTCTGGCAAGGTAGCAGCAGCAGATAGCACTTACTGCGAGGCCACTATGCACCATCACCATTCCATGCACATTACGTATATTGGTCATATCATCCTCATAACCTTCTAAGGGAAACACGATTATCCTCATGGTAAAGAAAAGAGAGGCAGTGAGAACAGGTCCCTTGCCCCAGGTCATTAGGCCAGTGAGTGACAGCCCAGGAATGCTGACTGCCATTTTCTCTTGGTGTTCTCCATGTCAGAAATGTCAAACAAGGCTGCTACTCAAATGGGGACTAGAGAAAAAATATTTTGTGTTCCTATCTTGCGATTAATGATAAAATAACTATCTGTGGATTTGAACCAAATAGTAATCATTTTATTAACAGATTCAAAAGTCTCACGGGGCCACCTCTTAGAAATACTTACTGTGTAGTAAGTACTTTCTTCTTTCCCTTTCAAATACCAGGTTTTTTTTTTTAAAGTTGCCCTGTAGAAGAAATACAGGGCCCCTGTCAACCATGACCACATCCTATACATTCTATAATTTTATCTCAGCATTAATATAATGACCCTGTAGACTGAGTTGAATGGTGGCCCCTCAAAAAAGATGTGTTCACTTTCTAATACCTGGAGCTTCTTGTGAACGTTACCTTCTTTGCAGACAGAATTAAGTAAGGACGTTGGGAGGAGGAAAGCATCCTGGATTATCCAGGTGGGCCCTGTATCCAGTGACAAGCATCCTTATAATAGACACGCAGAGGAGGAGATGAGAAAGGGAATCAATGTGACCAAGGAGGCAGAGGCTGGAGTGTCATGGCCACAGGTCTAGGAAGCTGGAGGAGGCCAAGTGCAGACAGGCTGACAGCATGGTTTTGGAGCTATGGCCTCCAGAACACTGAGAGAAGAATTTCTGTTGTTTTAGTCACCATTTTTGTAGTAACTTATTACGGTAGGAACAGGAAAAAATATACCCTGATATCTGCTTTCTACTATTATTCTATTTCTTGTCTCCCTCTCTGCTATTCCAGCTCATAGATATATCCTGGGACCATACACACACACGCACACCCTACCCACAAATACTTCAAACACTGATGAGAAGTAAATGTGGGCTAGAAAACAGTCAGCATGATAAGTGATTTATAGTGGGGCTTTTTTTCACAAAATACTTTTTCTCAAACTGGGAAATTTTCCCAAGTTATGAAATGTCCAATTTCCTATTACTAAATCATTCCCATTGTCTTATCAGACCTTTATTTTTTGGAAGAAAAGAATATTGGCTGTGTCACTGGACAGTACCAGATATTGTGGTATTCAGGAGTACGCTTAGATTCTGTGATTTAAAGCACAGGATCATGTAGGTTGGACCCAATGCTTTTGCTAAGAATGGCCTGGAACACCACCTCCACCTTGGTGCTGCCCTCACTCCTAACCCAAGAGAAACCTGGCAGTGGAGCCCACCTAGGGCTTGCAGGCAGGGTCTGGGTGGGCAGGAGGCCGTTCCTCCATCCCCCATGAAAATAGCTTCTTACTCACTTAAGAAATATATACACTGTTTAAAAGTAGGGCAAAAAAAACCTCTGAAAGGCAAGAGGTATAAAGAAGAAAGTGAAAAACTACCCATAACTAGAATGAGCATATATTTACCATCCAAAGCAGGAAGCTTTTGAAAGTGAAGAGGAGGAAGGCTATTAATAATTTTGCCAGGACACGAGTCATAAACAAGGGCTATGCCAGGTGAACTGGGCTCTATGGTCATCCTGCCTATAACGCAGATACCTGCATCATGGGTGTTTTTCCACGTATACACACATGGAAATATCAACTGTACCGGAGACCATGCTGTACTCTCTTCATTTAACAACTTATCTTAGCCATGTTTTACATCGGTAAATACAGATCTACTTACGGTGTCTTTTTCAAGGAATATGACATGGGATAGTCACATGGTTGGGTTTTTCCTTTTGTTTTGACTATTAAACAATGCCACAATAAGCATTCTTCTTACTGCAGTACACTTTTGGCTGATTAGTTTCTAGAGTAAGTTTCTATAAACGGCATTGCTGGGTCAAAGGCAAGCAGAGTTTGCATCTGGCCCTGCCTATCAGCAGCTCAGGCAGCCACTCTGCAATCCCATTCCTAAAAAATACATTCCAGCTTATAAGATTCTATCCAGTTATCTTTAGAGAAATCATTCTGACGTGAACTAAACTGAATTATCTATAATGTCATGGGATTATGTCATGGGATTATGTTATCTTCTCCTAAATCGATACCCTAATCCTGGCCCCTTACCCAATTTTAACTGGGAAAATTTTGTAAATTCCTTTATTTCTATCATTTCAGGGTCTTTTATGTCACTATGAGGAAGGGCCTCTTAATCCAAACAACTGTCCTCTCTTTCAAGGTCTCTGAGCTGAGTTGGCCTCTACTTCAAAGCTCAAAGATGTGATTCAAATTTAGTCTCACATTTTTAGATTCACATTTTTATTCTGAGCCACAAAATAGACCGCCGTCATTTGTTTGGAGTTGTTAAATCTTAATGTGTTAAAAACCACCTGACTGACACAGCCCCCTTTATGGTTAGAGCTTCTGCAGTAAAAAGTGATGTGGCAGAGTCAGGCAATACATAAGGAAATTCCAGGTCAGCCTTAGCTCACTCCAGTAGACAGAATGCTCAATCATCTGTGCCCAACTTTCACTACCCAGGGTCCAGATTCCTAGAGTATTTCTATTAGCCCCCACATAAGATGCCCAGTGAAAAACAAATATCCAGGTGCCAGGCTTCTAAGAAGCTCAAATATTTGGAATAGCTGTCACAGACCCAGGCAATCTGCCTTTCGCAGAAGCAAAGACACCTGAAGGCGATCATCTCGGCAACTGTGAATGGGGGAAGAACAGACTCATTCTTTTCTCTGCTTCTCCCTTTTCAAAACAGCAATTTGGGGTCATTTGGTGTAAAGGTAAACCTCAAGAAACAAGTACAGGTGCAAGGAACACTAGAACTGGAAGAGAGCTCCAAGATCCTCTGCTCGGTGAAAGTCTCTCATTCTATCAGCAAGGAGGCAAGAGCCCAGAAAGAGGGTACCTGCCAAAGTCATATTGAAAGCCGCTGTCAATCCAGAGCTTCGGTCTTCACCACTGCATGCATGTTCTGAGAAAAGCACCTGGAGATCCTGTTCAACAGGAGGCAGTGCAGTACAGTGGTATGAACCCAGCTCTGTGGCCCTGAGCCACTACTCAACTGCTCTAAGCCCAAGTTTCCTTATCCATAGAAAGGGAAAAGGTGTAACGAACAATAGCTACCCATGATTACTAAAATTGACATCAAAATTCAAAAAGGGTTAAAAATGCCTAAAAGACTATAGTAGAAAACACTGCTTTGTTCCATTAATGCTCCTAGAGATGAAAAATGCATATGCAGGCCGGGCGCAGTGGCTCACACCTGGAATCCCAGCACTTTGGGAGGCCGAGGTGGGCGGATCACCTGAGGTCCGGAGTTCGAGACCAGCCTTGCCAACAGGGTGAAAACCCATCTCTACTAAAAACACAAAAAATTAGCCAGGCGTGGTGGCAGGCGCCTGTAATCCCAGCTACTCAGGAGGCTGAGGCAGGAGAATAGCTTGAACCTGGCAGGCAGGGGTTGCAGTGAGCCAAGATCACCCCATTGCACTCCAGCCTGGGCAACAAGAGTGAAACTCCATCTCAAAAAAAAAAAAAATGCATATACAATGTTTTTCCACTATACAACTGATAAAGTCAGGAAAAACCCATTCTATACATATTTGAAACCCTTATTCAAAACACCTGGTTATTCATGATGAGCTCAACAAGAACTCAGTAGCGCAGAATCAGATTAGACTCAGGCTTTTACTCTTGCCAGAAGACATTAACATTTATTTTTAAAGGAATCGTTGTTTGACTAGAACACTAATAATGACTGAAGGTAAGCTCCAAAATAGTGGTTCTCAAACTATCTGTGAAGCATCAATTTTTTTTCTTTTTTAAAATTTTCCAATCTACTACAGGCTAATATTTTTATACAATACAGTAAAAATAAATTAGTAGAAAAACAAAATAAAAAAAAACCAGATGGACAAAATGTAAGTCCACATTTTAAATTAGGATCACTGTGTCAAATTGCTGGAAACATGGAAACATTTCCAAATACTTAGTCTCAAGTTCTGTACTTATGTCTTCTTGGACCAGAAACAGTTTGGGATGGCAGATCTCACTGAAAAACCAGTGAATCCTGCCCGCTCTCTAAGGCCTTACAATATAGCAGACACATGTTGTGTGCTCCTCACAACATCCACTGTCAGCACCCACATCTTACACTTGTGGAAACTGGAGCTCAGAGAAGGTGAGGCAAAGTAAGTGGCAGGGCTGAGATTTAAGCCCAAGACCACCTGTCTGAAGTCTGTGCTCCACACACTATGTTGTCTCCCTAGAACACCCAGAGACAAGCCATACAATTCGTTTCTAGTTTATAATTCAAAGTATATCATCAAATCATTATCCAGTTTATAGGTAATGAAGCCCTTGGGTGTTCCTGTCTTCCTATTTCCTGGCCTTCTGGGAATTTTAATTAAGAGGAACCATGAAAGGTGGTAAAACTCATGTCTATTAAGTAAGGTATCTGGAAATAGATTAAGATGTGATGAAAAGAAGGGAGACGGCCACTAAAATTAGACTTAAAATTTTTTTATTCCACACTTCTCCCCAATCGCCAATGAGGGGTGAGGTTGACTAGATGCTTCCCAATGAAGCTTACCTTGCCCAACAGCCGAGTGCATTTTTTCCATGTCAAACTTAATTTTTGATCTTCCTGGAGTGCTAAGCATCTTTTCCCACACTGTAGTTACTTCTTTAAGACAGGGAGTAATTTCTTCGTAATCGAGCTTCAGGCGTTTGTTCAGCAAATCATTTTCGGAGGCTGGAAGAGACCATTCCGGAGTGCATCAGTAAAGGCTACAGCTATGGAATTTCCATTACACAACATGGCTGCCTACTTGTTATCCTGCTGAGATGTCAAGAAGTTACAACCATCTTAATGCATCTAAATATAAGTCACTGTCCATGCCTCTACCCATTTTCTTTGTTTTGGAAAATGCTAAAAACCTAGGAGGTATGTGATTTCTCTTACCCCTCACTCCCAACGTACTCTGTGGGCTCTACTGCTAAGACATAAACCACATCTGCCCAATTCTTTCCATCTTACCCCCATCAAACCATGAGCCATCCCAGGACAGGAGCTATGTGTTATTAATAAAATCCCCGATGACTAGCATGGTTAGAACTCGATGCAATTTTTTTCATCTAAACTAGGAGAGGCACTCTAAAGATAGTTTTCTCATTTAGAGCCAAACCTCCGTTTAGTAGCTTCTACCATTGGTCCCATTTCTGCTTCTTGGAGCTAAACTGAATAAATCTACCCCTCTCAAATGACATCTCTGAAATATATGAAGAGAGCTACTGTTTCCCACCAAACTTACTCAACCTAAAGCTGCATGAAGAATTATAACTAAATTATCAAACCCAGGGGGGAATAATATCAATAAAGGGAAATGTTAAATTGATAATTTACATTGATCCTGGACCCAATCTCTCATTTCATGGCGACAGAAACTGAAGTTCAGAAGGATCAGGTGATTTGGTCCTGGTTATTTACTAGCTAGAGGGAAGCCAAGCGACTCTAGGCCCAGTGCTGCCTTCCTCTCAGCTTTTATGGTTTTCAATCTACCATCTTTAATCTTTTCCCTCATACTCTGATGAATACATTTCTAAGGTCCTGTTAAACAATTCCCTACATCTCTAGGGTTCACATTTTTTTAAAATGTCAACCCTAGATTTTTTTTTGGCTGTGATTTGGGATATGAGAAAACACAACAAATGTCACTAGAGTTGAGCTAATCCTTGCAGCAAATCAGGTTTGGGGCTAGCCTTGCTGCACAGCAACTGGCGGCAGCACTGGGCTTTGGAGGCCAACGTACGTTCCTCTGGCAGTAAGGCTGCTACAAGCACATCTGGCCACCCTAACAGAGCCCAGCAGGCAACATGAGCATCCTGCTCTGAAGTCATCACAACTTCACACAGCCAGAAAGAACTGGCCAGAAGATTCAGCTGAAAAGGCTCAATCCACGAACATCCTGCTGTTTCAGTATCCTAACAACACTGCTGCCTAAAATCAGTGGCCTCCAAAATGCCTTATCAACCAAGGCAGATGGTACAGAACTACAACAAACACCCAGGCTGCAGGGCAAGAACTTCAGATACAGGACCCAGCTGTTCGCAATACTAAATAAGACCCCCCACACCCATGTGGTTTATAAGCTTGTGGACTGAGATCAAATGTAAATTTGCAACAAAGTTCTCTAAAATATTTATTATGATTTAACATAAAGGTCTGAGCCAACTTGGACTTTGAGATAACGTTCAGGTCTGATTTGTTCCTACTCTGGAGGGTGGGCTATGGCTGCTCCGTCCCCAGTTCTGCTCTGTTAACAATGGCTTTCCCAGACAAAACTGTCTTGCCAGCTGCCATCATCTCTTGAAAGCTCAGAATGGAAAGCTAAGAGGATGGGAGGCTCAGCAATTAAATGACCCCCACACCTGCAGAGATTTTAGAAGAACTGCACTGAATATTTGATTTTTAAACCATCATGTATTATTTAACTAAGAAAAATGTTTTTTAAATAAAAAAACATCAACTGTAATTCAAAATTTAATGTTATCACATCATTTTAATCTTAGTAAAGCATAAAATGCTGAGTTATATGAATTAGCCATGGCTGTATTGAATCACATGTTGCAATCTTGCGTTAGGCTGCTCACATCTTTATTTAAAAATACAGAAAAATGGGCTGGGTGCAGTGGCTCATGCCTGTAATCCCAGAACTTTGGGAGGCCAACGTGGGAGGATCACCTGAGGTCAGGAGTTCAAGACCGGCCTGGCCAACATGGTGAAACCCCGTCTGTACTACTACTGGGTGTGGTGGTGGGCGCCTGTAATCCCAGCTACTCAGGAGGCTAAGGCAGGAGAATCGCTTGAACCCAGAAGACAGAGGTTGCAGTGAGCTGAGATTGTGCCACTGCACTCCAGCTTAAGCAACAAGAGCGAAACTCTGTCTCCAAAAAAAAAAAGAAAAAAAAAGGGAAAAATGGCTTTGCAAAGGAGGACAGCAGAGGACTGGTGGCTTCAAAGACAGGCAATGGTTTTAGTTCTAACACCACTGAAAATCAGCTGTCTAATTTTGGAGAAATCACAACTTCCGCTTCCAAGTGCCTACAATGGAGTGAGGTAGACTGAGATAACATGGTATGGTTCTTTCCAGGATGCAATGCTTCCAGAATAGTAAAAAAATTTGATTCATCCATTCAAGTCAGGAAATAGGCTTAACCATAGGAAGAACTTCCTCATACACATTCTTCTAAATTCTTTCCCAAAGAGTATGCAAGTCAGCTTGAACCCCTGATCAATTTCAAGAGCTATCTCAGATACAATTTAACCTTCCTTTAAGAAGGGAGAAAAAAAACAAACTCACAATAGAATGCCTATCTCTCTAAGTACATAGTACAGCAGGTCCTCAAATAATGTCTTTGTGCTCAATGTCACTTTGTTATAATGTTGATAAGAAAAAAATGAATTCTTAGCCTGGGGCCATTGTCCGTGTGGAGTTTGTGTTCCTCTTCATGTCTGTGTGGGTTTTCTCCAAGTGCTCCAGTTTCCTCCCACATCCCAGAGAGGTGTACATTAGGTTAATCAGTATGTCTACGTGGTCCCAGTCTGAGTGTGTGTGTGTGTGTGTCACCCTGAGATGGGATAGCATTCAGTCCAGGGTTGGTTCCTGCCTTGCACCCCAAGCTGTAGGGATAGGTTCTGGCCACCTAGGACCCTGAAGTGGAATAAGTGGAAAAATAATCACCTTTTTTTTTTTTTTTTTTTAAGATGGTGTCTCACTGTGTTGCCCAGGCTGGAGTGCAGTGGCACCATCTCGGCTCACTGCAACCTTCATCTCCTGGGTTCAAGCGATTCGCCTGCCTCAGCCACCCAAGTAGCTGGGATTACAGGCGTGCACCACCACGCCCGACTACTTTTTTTTTGTAATTATAGTAGAGACGGGGTTCCACCACATTGGCCAGGCTGGTCTCGAACTCCTGACCTCAGGTGATCTGCTTGCCTCGGCCTCCGAAAGTACTGGGATTATAGGAGTGAGCCACTGTGCCAAGTCAATAATTATCTTATTTGTATTAATCTTGCTTAAATGTTTGCATATCTCATGTTTACATTAATATTTAATATTAGAAGTGTCCTGAGTCTTTATTTAGAAGTTTGGTGATGTTTTTGTGCCCAGAAATATGCCACAGGAACTTAACTCTTGTTTTTATCAATAAACTTTTGGTTTATTGATAAATATTTATCAATGAAACCTTGTTTCATTATACATCATTTTGCTTAAATTCGCAGTTTCCATGAACCTATTGGCAACATTAAGTGAAGACTTACTGTACACTCTGGCTGATTCTTATCAAATCTTGCATCTATATTTAATGTAAAAGTTCTGCCCTGCTCCTAATCCACCCCAACAAAACTTAGTAAATATTTTTAAGCAATCAGGCTCTTATTGCTGGATATTTTTTATCAGCAATCCAGGTCCTATACACACTAATACAATGGATTAATGCTTCCAACATTATATTAAGCAAGTTTATTGTGTTTTCACCACAGAGATAAACACATGTTGAACATTACAGAGCTAAGAAGAGAAATGAAGTCAAACAGTAAAAATAAAAGACCACAAAAACCGAACACTGCCAAGAAGCCAGATGAAATGAGGAAGCATTAGAAGAATGTTGGCAAGGGCCAGTAAACTTAATGCAACACCTGGCAAGGGGTTCCAGGTAACCTTAGGAAACTCTTGCCTGTTCATTCTAGTCTGTCTGATCATTGTTTGCACAGCAGAATGTATTCTGCTTTTGTGGCATACTGATTTCGCCTCACCAATTACAGTTGTCCTCACCACATTCCCAAGAAGCCAGCTGTGAGCACCATTCCCATTTTATAGCTATGCCCTGATTTTACAGGGCTGTCATTTGCAAGAAGATTGGCCAGTATTGGCATTAAAGTTTATGACCTACATGATTAACGTAACTGCCTTTTTCCTCTTCAACAAAAATCCCAAGATGCACGTGAATATAACTGCTGTGCTCCCGAGCTGTCATTTAACTGATGACACTTGTAGTAACGCCATCACTATCAAACATCTTTTAGACATCTGCTTTTAGAATTACTTTCATGAACACACAAGAAAGCGGCAGAAAAACTGGGTTGGAAGAAAACAGCACTCACCTGCTCTAAACACCCCCCAGTGTGCTATCACCTTCCACAGCACCCTGATGGGAGCACCCATCTTTCTCAGCTTCAAAACTGCATACTGGAAAGCTTACTAGCCTATTCCAACTGTGGAGCTACTTTCATATCGAAAGGTCTTATTCCTTTATAATTCATTTTTTGTTTTCAGTCAGAAGATATAGACACTATCTCTTTACATTCTATGAATTCGTACTTTTCAACTGCAGAAACTACGTTGCTGGTATACAGTGTTGTCATAACTCACAAGTATCATATGGACATGCACAGAGAACGTCTGTCCACCCACTATGACACTAGCTATGCAACTGAAACTCATGGAATACAACACATTCTCGGGAGCTTATTCCTCAGATTTGGTGTCTTAATGACTTTCAGCTCTATACAAGCATCAAGGTCATTTTAAAAGACCAAAATTTGCAATCAAGGATGATGCTGAATGAAACGTACTTCAATTCCAAAATTGTTCTGGGGCAATGGCAGGGTGACTGAACCATCTGCTACATCTTCCCTTTCAAAGAGATTATGCAGACTTTCTGCTCAAAATCTTCACTACTTTATAGCTGGGCAATTAATTCTCTAGATACCCTAAGACCCATGCTCTTTCCAAAAGGTATGTAAACTTTGCATCTTAAGCTACTTTGAAGATAATATTAATTGGTTCCAGTATCAGTATGGAAACAGGAAAAGAACAAAATCTAAACATTCAAAGTTCATGTCATATTTTGACACTATTGATGTCAGTACAGGTAGAATTCAGCTAATGATTCTGCTTCAGATTACTCGCAACTCACTGAGAAAGCACATAGAGTGAAGTTATGCACTTTAATGACTTACACAAGAAAAGTTCATACCTAACACACAGGCACAGACTATGGCTGAGGATAAAGTAGACTGAGAGAGAGAGGGGGGGAAAAAAAAGCACCTTTCAGCACTTTAGAGCTTAAATTTAAAACTTTTATCTCAGAAGTTCTAGATACTGTACTAACAGTGACCATAGAGGAATAATGAATATAGTTGTTGAAACTATCATTAGATCACCAGAAAGTAAACAGTGCTAATATTACTATGAAAAAGTAAACAGATGTAGACAGATACGTATATTAGACTATCATGCTGCTATATTTTTAAGACAGTATGCTTATGTCTGATGTGATTCACTTCAGAGCCAAGATAAGACCAGGCCTGTTCAATATCAAGATGGCAAACCAACCTTGGAGCTTCTGATTTTCCTTCTCCATTCTGAGCAGCAGTATCTGTTGAAGAATAGCCTTTTGCCACAGCTCTCGGAGCTCACGAGATGTCCTTTTCTTTTCCTCTGGCGTGGGCCCAAAGGGCCCATCTTCACAAACTGGTTCTAAAGGAGATCGTGGGGGAAGCTCTCCCAGCTCTGAATAATCTGGAAAGGGAGAAGGGCATTCCAGAATTGTCATTTTTCAACAAAAAATGCACATTCAAACATAGTGCCAAGTCAGCAAATTCTGTTCGTTCAGATAAAATATAGTAATATCACCAAATTTAAAATTCAGGTGTTAATAAGCATTGGCATAAGCCATGTCTGAGCCACAAACATGAAACAAATGATACATCAAACAGTAAACAAAACTTCAGTAGCCGAGGAAGTATTTAAAGATACCTGCTTTTTAAGGTGTAATATTCTTACCTTCTTCTGAAAATGTTATTTAATAATTATTGATAATTATAGAAAACGTTCACACAGTGCCTACTCTGTACCAAACTGTTCTCAGAGCTTTATGTACAATAATTTAACACTCACAAAAAACTCTAAGTCATAGGTATTATAACTATCCAGTTTTAAAGAAATGCAAACTGAGGAACAGGGAGTTTATGTAACTTGCCTAATGTCACATAGCTAGGAAGGAGTTGAGCCAGGACTAGAACCCAACAGTCTGGCTTTCATGTGCATTCTTAACCACTGTGCTATCTGGCTATTCTGAAAGAAGATTGAAATGTATTTAATAGGCAGTAATAACAGTAACCATTAGCAGACCCTCTACCAAGCGCTGGACACTGTGCCGGCCATTTTATGTAGGTAGACTCATTTAATCCTGGTGACAAGTCCAGAAGGCAGATATTAGCCTGGAAAGGAAACTAAGGTTCAGAAACTTGCCCAAGGTCACACAGTGAGTAAGTAGGTACACCGGCATAGTCTAACTCACCCCTTCCTGATTCAGAAGACCATTTGTTCCCACCACATACCGCTACAATCCAAATGTTTCCTATGTCTAAATTACATAGCTTTATAGAGTCTTATTTCATTATGATCCTATCAGACAAATGAATAAACTAAGATTCTACATCTTTTGGGGGTTTATAGGTATTATAGGAGGATGCTACTGTGTACTGTTCAATAGAAAAGCAAGAATTGAAATTATAAAGTATCATCTCAATTTGATACGTATTATGAGAGGCAGTACAGTTCGTTGATTAATAGTGCAGGTTCTGGAGCCAGGCTGCCGGGATTCTGATCAAGACTCTGTCATTACTGATTTTGTGATCTTTAACAAGTTGCTTAACATCCTGATGCTTCCACTTCCCAATCTGTCAAGTGGGAATGACAGAGCCTCCCCTCAGAGTGCTGGGAAACAAACTGAGTTAATAGGCTACAAACCACTGAGAACAGGGCCCAGCACAGAGTAAGAACACAATAAACCAAAAAATAGCTCTTATTGTTTGCTATCATATATTTACTAGGGGCACAGAAAAAAAATCAAAATTTCAGCTACTCAACCGTAAGCTCTAACAAGCTTAGAACCTTGCTGCCTCATTGACCAGGGTTTTGGTCACCACACTGAGCACAGTTGCTGGCACCCAGTAGGTACCTGAGAAATAACTGTCGAACAAAAGAAGGGACAAAATACTGGGTTTACATGTACTGTTATTTATGTTTTCCCTCTATTTTCTAAACTTGTGGCAATAAATATTTTAAAAATAAAAACTAAGGGAAAATAATGCAAATCTATTCTAATTAAAATCAAAGATGGAAAAAATATTTTCCTGCAAAACACTTACAAAACAAACAAATCCCTTCACCCCAAAACCTGTATACTTAGGATTAGTCATTACTGAATATGATATAGTTCAATTGAATCCTTTTATTTCATCTTATTCTGCAGCTTGAAGTCTTTCATTTGAGCCCTTTCCTTTCTTTTTTTTATTCTTTCACCGTCTTGGCTCTTGGAATTCTGAGGGACACTGCAGTTGTGATTGACGTTCTGCTTTACCTCACATTGGAAGCATATCTCCCACTGGTTTGCAACAGTCTCGTTTCCAAAAACTAAGTCCTATGAGGTGTTCTGGCGTTCTGGATGGCATGGCAGGCGCCGCCCTGATAATGAGGGCAGCGTTTCCATGCACTCTCACAATCTCTTGTGTGTCAAGAGAACCCAGGACCCAGCCAGGCAACAGAGGGGAGCTCCGCTGAGGGTTAGGTGGGGTTGACCTGGATACACACACACACATACACACACTCAAACACACACATATGGTTTTTTGTTGGTTTTTTTTTTTTTTTTTGAGATGGAATCTCGCTCTGTTGCCCAGGCAGGAATGCAGTGGCACGATCTTAGCTCATAGCAACCTCCACCTCCCAGGTTCAAGTGATTCTCCTGCCTCAGACTCCTGAGTGAGTAGTTGGAATTACAGGCATGTGCCACCATGCCTGGCTAATTTCTGTATTTTTAGACGGGGTTTCGCCGTGTTGGCCAGACTGATCTCGAACTCCTGACCTCAGGTGATCTGCTCACCTCGGCTTCCCAAAGTGCTAGGATTATAGGTGTGAGCCACCACGCCCACCTGACCTGGATATTCTTAAACCCTACTAGTAAAACAAGGGTTTACCTCACCTAAACTCCTTCTAATCTCATCCTTCCTGTTTACCACAGCCTTCCTCTACCCAAGGTCTTGAAACTTCCTACTGTGTTCCTTTCAAATTCGGAATCACAATGAGCAGGTGTAACTCAAGCCAGGAGGATGGAACATTCCTAGCAGTAGAGGTTGCTTGTCCCGAGATCCATGTACTCTCTGCCACTTGGGCTACTGACAAGGACCACTGTCTATAGAAGTTTATCAAATTCCGGTTTTATTTTAGTATTCAGAGAAACTGGATCTGCAAAAACACAAGTATTGTTTGGTGACGACAACTGTGAGGTTTAAGACGTAAGCTGTCTGCCTAATGTTTTCTACTTTTGTGATCTTTTTCTTACTATCATAGCGACAGTTTGTTGAGCTTTTACCATATGAGTTCTTGACACAAATAAGCTTGTTTGATCTTTACAACAATCTCATAGGATGGGTGATATTATGATCTCCATTTTCCAGCTAAAATAAGTAAGGTGCAGTGAGGTTTTATAACTTGGCCAAGGTCACACAGCTAGTAAGAGTCAGAGCCATGATGTGAAAAAAGGTGTATTTTCCTCCAAAGTAAAAACAACAAAAAAAGAAAAGTTTACCCCATGCTTCTCTAACTTCTACATGCACAAGCCTCGCTGGGGATCTTGCTAAATTAAAGATCTGAATCAGCAAGTCTGAGGGGAGCATTTCCATCAAGCTCCCCAATAATGCCTCCCCTGCCGGTTCTCCAAGCACACTCTGAATAGCAGGGCTCCACACTGCAGCTTTACTCTCTATTTCCTCATGCAACCCTATGCACTTACTAGCACATGGGCTCATCTCCTTCACTCCCACCACTGAGAACACAGTTCAAATACTGTTGTCAGTTGCCTGAATTCAGGTCCTCAACACATGGCAGGAGCTTGTCCCAGACCTGCTCAGGGGACCCAGGCCAAGTCAAAGACGTATTTGAGCACTAGTATTAATTTCACCTCTGCATGAACTAAGTAAAAGCTGATCCACTGTAAAGGTTAGCAAATAAACCCAAGAGTTTAGACGAGGGTTTCTCAACCTCAGCACTACTGACATTTTGGGGCTGGATAATTCTTTGTCACGAGGAACTGTTTTATACACTGTAGAATGTTTAGCAGTCTCCCTGGGCATAGTAGCATCTGCCCACCATCAATGCCTCCAGGCATTGCTAAATGTCCCCTAGGGGTCAGGAGGAACAAAACCACCTCTAATAAGAACCTCTGATTCAGAGTTAAAATCTCACCATTTTGTCTCTCCTAAACCCTGGGAAAGGGTAAAAATGTATCTCCTTTATCCAAATTCATTTCACAATTACAGATTTTATAGTTTAACAACAAAGTTGTATAGATTAACAACAAAGTTTTATAATATTTTTTGTTCATATTAAAGAGTAGCTGGCTACAAAATAGCTCAGTAATTTATAAAGGGAGATAGTTAAAATCTTTGTTCTAAATTTGGCCTGCTGATTCAGTCCAAGTAAGCTGCTTTCTCAACAATGCAGAAAGATTCAGACTGGGGACAAGGCTACAGCTTTGTAATCAGTGCTCCTTCAGGCATGTGCAATCTTGAGAGATGTGGACTCGAGCGGAGTGGCAGGTCGAGGAGAATAAAATCAAAGTCCGAAGCAACTATCAGCTGAGAACCTTGTTCTAATGATAAACCCAGGCACTGTTTTCACTTACATCATTCCTAAGTCAATCCTACCAGCATTGAGTCCCTTATATGTATGCAGGGATGCGATGTGTTAGGTGGTCTAAGGAGGGCTACTCTGAGGTTTCTGTTCTCTAGAACAATCCCAGGGATCTGGCTTCTCTCCCTGACTTGCATTCTTGCTGAGAGACAGCTGCACAGAGGCCAGTGTAGGAACTGGCTTGGCTCGGTGTAGTGGAGGTTGAGCTGAAGGAGGGGCTGCTCTACCTCTTGGGCCAACTGTGCTGGTGCCTCTTGGGAAAATGCATGCCTTCTGGGTTCCAGTCCCTCCATGCAAAATGTGAGAAATGATATTCGCCGCTGACACCCAACTGTGGAGACCACAGGCACTGACAGGCATATTTATAAAGTCTGCAAAGCCACCAAACCAAAGGGCTGTGATAACACCTTAGTCCAGGATTAGATTTTACTATTCTGACATCTCCTATAATGACAGGATGTGGAGAACTTAAATTATGTAGCCTTCCAGAAACAATAGCCTCCAATGGGTTCTAAGAATTTTAAAACCAGTCATAATTCAGGAGGCCTTGGAGACAACTGCCTCCTATTAAATCATTGCCATGACACTCCCAACAGAGTCATAAATATGATCTATGCTGGTATGTCCATATTTCAGATGCCAAATTTTTCCCCAACAACTCTGTTCTGTTGCATTCTTTCTATCTGCACACAAATGTGTGGGGAAGAGTACGACATTGCATCATTGTTATGAACAGAATCAATGCCATGATCGAGAAAGAGAAAAAGCAATGTGCACACGACCTCCTATTTGTCTAGTATCTGGCTCTCTCAAGTGTAGAATAC